AGTTGGAAACTTTACTTAACTCCAAGGAATCCCATTAAGATAAGTGTACATGTATGAGGTAGAGAATGTGGGCATTGAGAAAAAATGACGTCATGCAACTAAATGGCGACTGTGCCGGGTGAACAAATAATGTCTTTTTATTTTATGATAATTTGGAAAATATTTAAGGTATCAAGCTAAAATTTTCAACATTTTTCTAACTTTTATTGTTTTATGTTCCTTAAAAATTTTGTGAGCATAAACTTCAAAGTATTAATTTTATCGCATCTGTCTTATATTAATAAAATATTAATAAAATACAATGTTTTTGTTGTAATTCTCTAAATTGATGAAAAATAACCTAGCTTTTTTTTGTCTATAAACATATGTCCCCCGTCCCGTGAAACAAAAAAAGCTTATAAATATGTGAAATCGTAAAAAGGAATTTTTGTTTCACGGGGAAAAGATGTTTTAATGTATTTTCCTTTTATAGTGAAAAACACATTTTAGAGTTATCGCTCTTTGTTTTCCCAGATACTAGTCAGTAATGCTTTATGAGAATTCATACAAAAATTAATAAAAATACAAAAAATCAATATAAAATGTTAACTTTTGAAAATTGATTTGGAGGTATACGGGAGAACAATATTATCGTTTGCAGTTCTTGGAATTGCCGCCCTCAAGATCTTAATGCGGCAGTCGCATCCTAAAAGAAGAAACGTTTTATTTCACCGTGCACAGTTAAACACCATCCTTATGGAAGTAAAGGACGTACATGTACACAAACCGTCTGATGGTACTTGTGTCCTAAAGTACTTTGAAGATCATTTTTGAAAATTTCTTTCTTATATGCATAGTAGCATCACTTGGTCAGGACTTGAAACGAAGCAACCTATGTTTACGTTTTAACATTGTTTAAGCAGTTATTAAATGTTTATCAATTTTTCATTTACATAAATGTCAGTTAGAACGATTCGAAACTTTTTATTGGAGGACCAATCAAAACCAACTTTTCATTAACGCTATCATTTGACCAATGATATTTTTGAGTAGCAAATACCTTTAATGTATATAAGGAAAACAGATCTTTTACTGAGCACAGATGGATATATACAGTTATTCTATCTGACAAGTGAGGTTTGTTAACTCATATAAACGATTTAATTAATCATTGCCATTATCACCTCATAATATTTTGTTTTGTACATCATAAGCTATCTTATTTGAATCTGATTGCATGCTTTACTAATAATACGTGTATATTAATGTCATTATTTAAATTGCAGGTATTGAAACATTAACAATGACCAATGAAAGACAACCAATCTGTTTACCCAAGTTCGATAAGATTGCTTTTTTTCTCAACAACTTGCAGTCTTCTGAAACTCATAAGATCAAGGCAGCATCCCGACAAAGAAGCAACAGTTGTTCTCTGAGGCCTGGTAAAGGACGGAGACCGGATTATTCTGGCGAAAAAGCCGAATCGCGCGAGGTTGTTTATCCGTCTAGAAAGCGTCTTTTGTCAAAACGACCACAAGAGAATGTCAAAAACAATTGTACATTGGAAGAATGCCGACCAAGGAATGGATTAGAGAATGTTAAAATTAACAAAAAATTGGGGTCACGGTGTTTAGAAAAAATAGAAAAAATGGCAACTGAGAACAACTCTAGTGTATGCAATTTAAACCAATCTTTCCCTAAAACAGGTGATAAAGCTTCTGTTGTAAAAATCAACGTAACTACTGCTTTTAGCGACGAGGAAGACGGCGTATCAAAGCAGTTTTATTCTGTTGTACCCATTAGTTATGAAAGACACGAACGTAAAAAGCAAAGTCATGGTCATAGCAGACAACAAGAATTACTTTCAACAATTCTGCAGATAAATCCAGATGCAAGACAGACTGTTTCGTTAATAAGACATGGGTCACTTCCTCCTATGCAGCATTCAGACTTGTAAATCATCATATTTAAATCAGTAAAAGTTTTCTTGTGTAAAGCTGTGTCTTAAGCTGCAAGTTTGTCACAATAAAGATTAATTTTTTTACATTAATATTTCATATTATAATATATGAATCATGCTTTTTTTTGGTTTATTTTCTTTGTGTAATGCGTCAAGCAAACCACACAACCAGATGTTTACATCCTCAGAGACGGTTAATGCAATTTTTTGAGACCTTCCTTATATACATACAGTAGTCATTATCATTACGATAACGTATTACGATAATTTTTATCTGTTTTTTTCAGTATATGCATATGCAATTTTAATTCTAGAAAATAAATTTAACACTATAATCGTAGATCACATGAGCCGAGAGCTCTTGAAAGTGAACTTTTCTTATTTTCTTTGTGTAATGTCTGTCAACTTTTCACAACCACAACAACCAAACTTGCCACAAAGTAGATGTTTGAAGGGCCACCTCATTCAAGGGGAGATTGGGAATTAATGAAAATTTTTATGTTTTAAAAATCTTCTTCTAAAGAACCACTGTGCCAGGAAAGATGAAACTTATGGGGAAACATCCTCAGGTAGTGTAGATTCAAGTTTCTTCAAATCATGACCCCCAGGGGTAGGGCGGGGCCACAATGGCCGACCAAAGTTTTACATAGAAATATATAGGAAAATTCTTCTCAAGAATAGCAAAGCCATAATTGATTATAGTTATATTGAAGCAACGTCAGGTATGGCCAACCAAAGTTTAACATAGAAATATAAAGGAAAATTCTTTAAAAATCTTCTTCCCAAGAACAGCAAAGCCATAATTGATCATATTTATATAGAAGCATCGTCAGGTAATGAAGATTCAAGTTTGTTCAAATCATGGCCCCTGGGGGTAGGGCGGGGCCACAATGGCCGACCAAAGTTTAACATAGAAATATATAGGAAAATTCTTTAAAAATCTTCTTCTCAAGAACAGCAAAGCCATAATTGATCGTATTTATATAGAAGCATCGTCAGGTAGTGTTTATTCAAATTATGGCCCCTGGGGGTAGGGTGGGGCCACAATGGCCGACCAAAGTTTTACACAGACATTTAAAAATTCTTTAAAAATCATCTTCTCAAGAATAGCAAAACCATGATTGGTCATAGGATTACTTTTGGATTTAAACTTTTCAATAATAAACCAAACTTTTTTAGCCACAGTGCTCAGGTGAGCGATGTGGCCTATGGGCCTCTTGTTCCTGTATTTCATGCATCCGTCTGTATAAGCTTTTCACACTTTTGATTCATTCTCAAGAAGCACATAACCAATTTTAATCTAACTTGGCACCACGCGTTCTTAGATAGAAGGGAAGTTTTCAAAATGAAGGACAAATTAAACCGTTTTTAGAAATTGTTCATACGTAGAGCATCTTGTGTATTGATCAACTGAGATATATAAACTCTATATGCAGGTGATGAAGGTATATTGCTGCATAAGTATAAGGGAAGTTAACGATTGGAAAGTTAAAGTCGTTACATTTATCATTGAGCTTGGTTGTAAGAGAACCATGAACGTCTTTTTCAAGGAAAATATTCAAATATGAAACAGTTGTGTCAGATTCTGTGATATCTTTTATCTAAGCTCACAAAAACATATCGTTTCGGCATAAGAATGGAAATTACCACTGTCAATTGACAAAAGGTCGTCGATATATCTAAGTGTGATTTGAAGGCTACACCAAGTGTTTTCTTCTTTTCACAAATAGGATTTTGGACACATTCTGCTTCATATGAATACAAAAATGGGTCTGTTAATAACGGGGAGCAATTGGTACCCATGGGAATTCCAATAGATTGTTGAAAGACCTGGTAGACACAGACACTGTAAATATTTATGCGCCTGCATCGAAAGATCCGAGGTGTATACTGTTTTTGTTCTGTCTGTCTATCTGTCTGTCTGTAGTCAACTTTAACCTTCGTCATAACTTTTGTACCATGAGAGATAGAGACTTGGTATATATGGTATGGTATATATGGTATATATGCTATATATGGTATGCATATTTTGCTAATTAAATTCTTTCAACTGACACCAAGGTCAATGACCTTGTGACCGTGACTGTGGCCTATATGCTAAAAATTCGAATTTTCGCCATAACTTTTGAATCATTACAGATAGAGACTTCATATTTAGTATCCTAATTCCACTAATTAAATTCTTTCAAATGATACCAAGGTAAATGACAGTGTGACCTTGACTGTGACCGATATGCTAAAAAGCTTTTTCAAACTTTGTTGCTGCCGGGCGCATAAGGTTTCACAAACGCATCTTGTTTCAATCAGAAATTCAAGCATCTTTTTGCTGTCAAATTCAGTGTACTCGTGTGCACAGTCAGAATGTTTTTATGCACCCTGATCGATAGATCCAAGGCGTACATTGTTTTGCCCTGTCTATTTATCTGTTTGTCTGTCTGTTGTCACCTTAACCTTCGCCATAACTTTTGAGCTATGAGAGATAGAGACTTCACATTCGGTATTCTCACTTCACTAATTAAGTTCTTTCAAATGAGACCAAGGTCAATGATCTTCACTGTGACTTATGTGCGAAAAATAGCTTTTTCGTACTTTCGCGATAATTTTTGAACCATAGGTAATAGATTCTTCATATTTGGTTAGCATACTCCACTTGTTAAGTTCTTTCAAATGACTGTGACCTACATGCTATAAATAGTTATTTTGAACTTTGTTGCCGAAGGGCGCATAATGTTTCACAAACACATCTTGTTTAACAACATAATTTTGCAAATGACCAATGACAACATATATGTCAATGACCATGTGACCTTGACTCTGACCTATATGCTAAAAGTGACTTTTTCGAACCTTGTTGCCGCTGGGTGTCAAGTTTTTAACAAAGACATCTTGTTTACTTTTACAATAAAATGGAAAACTAAAGAATGGTTAAATTGATCATAAAAAGCAACAAAATTATAAATTCAAATGGAATATTCAGCAATATAAAAAGAAATGCTCAAAATACTAATATAAAACTTAACGATTCAGAAGGAAAAGATTGACATGTCATACAAAGGTGCTTTTGATTTTAATTGTACCAGTAAATATAACAGTGCATGAGTAAGTTAAATGTAATAGGAGTTTTATTCTTTAACTTAATAAGATGGCCAGCCTTTTGGACGTTTACAGGGTGGTTTTCGTTTCGGCTTTTCTTCCTCCTCTGTTTCCTTGCGTTTTGCAAAGATAAAACAGAAACGACAACAGCAACCAAATGCTCCCATAGCGATGACAGAAACGATAGAGAGAACGGTCACTTCTAGGTACTCAAATCCATGTATAACGTCTCGTAGGTACACTGGCGCTTTTATGTTTTTTGAAACTACAATGTACATAACAATATATAGCCAAATAGCCAATATTTGGAAAAACTGTTAACTATTATCCTACGTTTATATAATTATAATGTACCAGTATCTGTTCTTTTCAAGTTATGCCAGAATATGTATTTTTCATGTCAAGGCATATTTCTCAATTGCTGTATTCGCTTCTATTAGTAATTAAGTTAAGAATACTGATTATACTACATGTATTCTGTTAAAAGTAAAACTATAAATTCATGCAGTTTGTTTATTAGAATATGATAAAGGGCTAAAGATTACTGGTCAATGTTGTGAATGATTTACATGTGATCTTACCTTGCATGGTTGTCTTTAGCTTTGTTGTGGCTTTTGCAGTGACATTTCTTTTCCTTTCCTCTGTTCTGCTCTGCTTGGCTGTTGTTATCCTGCTATTTGCTTTTACAGATGATACGAACTTTGTCATTCTCAATGTGGAAATATAGGCAGGAGAAGTCTTTTTCATTGTACTTGGAAAGTACATTTTCGACGTTGAACTTGGTTTTGACTTTGTCGTGAGTGCACTCGGTACCGTTGTCGATGTATGTTGTGTGATGGTGGTTCTTCTCGTTAATATACGCGTATTTGTTGTTTTAGAAGTTGTTCTCGTTGTTGGAAACGCATGCTTTGTCGAAATAGTTTTCGATGTTGTGTGACTTGGTTTTACATGTGTTGTAGGTGCAGTTGGTAGTTTTTTCGATGCATGACGTGTGGCAGTTGTTCGTTTCGTTGATTTAGAAATACTTCTTGTTGATGTTCTCATTGTTGAATGGACAGGAATTGTTGTCAGCGCTTGATAGATATCTGATTTACAAAAGAACTCTTGAATTTTTCATATAGAAATTATGCTTTATAATTGAAAATCTAACATATACACTCAAATCTTTAAAAAAAATAATTTAATATTTACTTATTTACCTTTGCATATGACCGAGTGCATTACTTTTATTGCAGTTGTCAATGAGTTGAAATCTTCAATTAGGAAGGTGTGATCCGCACCCGAACTTATGTGTTGAAGTTCTTTAGAATTAATGGAATGACCAATACCAATGCAAAACACTTTTATATTTGTTTTACGCAACGATTTCGCTTGAATTGCCGTTCCATTCGGGGAGTACGTTTGACCATCAGTAATTAAAATAAGAATTTTCTCTGCATTTCTTCTTCCACCAGGCTTGAAGCTATAGTCGTTGACGTATTTCAAAGCAGCTTCTATATTAGTTCCCCCGGTTTGATATGGTACATTGTCGACTGCAGTTAGTAAGGTTGCCATGTTTTTGTTAGCATCTAATGCAAACTGATGATGCACCGTTGAAGCAAACGTTTCAATTCCGACGAGTGTGTTATGTGGACCAACTGTAAATCTTGAAACGATTGCCTTTGTAAAGTTAAGAATTTTCTTAAAATTTTCAGATCCGACGGATCCTGAACTATCGAGCAAGAATACGACATCGGTTGAAGCAGATTTGCATTCTACAACATAAAAATTGAAGGTAACTTTATTAAATGAAAAAAGCATACTTGCTCATATCTTCAACATTTTAGACTAGCCATTCCTTAAGAAATTTTGAGAATTTGTCTTTTTTTAACGTTAACAATGCTTTTCATAGGAAAAAATACAGTTCAAATAATTTAGTGATAATCGTATTTTTAATGTTCTTGTATGAGCAACGTAAATCAAAATTTGCCTCCTTGATATCAATGTTCTCTACACTTTTTGCCAACACATATACATGTGTATATTGCAATTTCATAACACATTCTTTCTCAAAAAGATGAAAAATGAAAGTGAAAAAAATGAATTCAAAATATTGGATTTATGGTTATTATGAACACCTACAAAGATAACATAATTATCAATAATTAATTCAAGTAACTACCGGTATTTTAATTTAGATATGGTTTCTATTTTGATTCTTCAACAAAATATCTTGGGGATCAATGTGAGATGTAAAAGAATCAAGTTCTTTCAATATTTAGTCTCTTTTAAGTGGAATTAAGAAGACATGTCATCAGTACGTGCATGATGATTCAAAATTATCCAAAATTTTGAAATTGTTTCCTAATTCAAGGATATATCGAGTATATAACATTCTATTTCAAAACTGATATAAATCTGATCATGTTATTCTTTACCATTAAAAAGATTAGTTTTGCACTTCAAATTTTTCTGTATCTAAGCGGTTTAGGGAAGTGCTTAAATTTTGACGTTAAAAAGCCAAGAGTCAGCAACAACTAATCCACAGAAAATCCACAAATCGCAAATCTTTTAATTGATTTTATACAAACTGAAGACGAGCTTCGAAGATCATATCTACTCATCATATGGTGTACTTTAGAAAACTGTTACGTATAGCGAGACAAAAGTGCATGGAAAGGCTTGTCAATAAACACTGTTATACAATAGTACCGTTGTCGATGAATGTTAGTAATGCGTCCGTCCGTCTGTTTTTAAACAATTTTTCAAAATGCTACTTCTCCTACAGTTTTGGTCTGATTTCAATATAACTTGGCAGACAAGTAGTCTACACTAAGATACATAATGCTCTTTATCGGTATTTGATTTCGAAGACCGGTGTTGCCGTGGTTACTAAAACTAGAAATTTCTGTGAAATGCTTTTAAAATGGTACTCCTCCTACAGTTCTGGTCTGATTTCAATATAACTTGGAACACAAGTAGACTAGCTACACCAAGATACATAATTCTGTGAATTGGTTTTTGATTTCGAAGAACGGTGTTGCCGTGGTTACTAAAAATAGAAATTTTTAAAAATGCTTTTAAAATGCTACTCCTCCTACAGTTTTGGTTTGATTTCAGTATAACTTGGCACACAAGTAGACTACACTAAGATACATAAGTCTGTTTATCTGTTTTTGATTTCGGAGAACGGTGTTGCCGAAGTTACTAAAAATAGAAATTTCTGTGAAATGCTTTTAAAATGCTACTTCTCCTACAGTTCTGGTCTGATTTCAATATAACTTGGAACACAAGTAGACTAGCTACACCAAGATACATAATTCTGTGATTTGGTTTTTGATTTCGAAGAACGATGTTGCCGTGCACGTGGTTACTAAAAATAGGAATTTCTTTGAAATGCTTTTAAAATGCTACTCCTCCTACAGTTTTGGTTTGATTTCAGTATAACTTGGCACACAAGTAGACTTTCAAAATGCAACTCCAAATACAGTTTTAGTCTGATTATAATATAATTTGGCATGCAAGTAGACTACACTGAGATACATAATTACCAGATTTGTGTTTTCGATTTTGCTTATTGATGTTGCCATGGTGAATAAAATTGAAAATTCTGAAGTTTTATTAAAAGCTACTTGTACCGTTTTTGTCTTACTGCAATCTTGCCAAAAAGAGAGTGAATCAAGGATCATTATTTTATTTCTTGCTCTTGTAAAGTTTTAAGTTCAACTGCTACTTTTCCTTTATTATAAGTACAAACCAGTAGAGCTACAGTCTCAACAGATACTTCTGGTTTACGTAAATAATATTTTTAAGGAGACATTCAGTTAAAACCAGTTCCTATGGTTTTATTTTTATAATATACACCTGTAAAGTAATACTAAATACTTTCTAATTTGTTAATTGTTTTGAAAACTACCATTTATTCCTCTGTTTGATTTTAGAAAAACTACTTCCTTTCTGTGTTTATTTAAAGTGCCTTGTGAAAATTCATGTAATATAATTATGCATTCCTATTATCGGCTGTATATCAATAAATTGATAATAATATGATAAAGATATAAAAAAAAAAATGCTTTATTGAGGATGAGGTGAACAAAAATTAAACCTTTAAAAAGTTAATGACAAACAAGTTGAATGCTTTCTAGATGGATCTAGTTTATGTGAGTGATTTACCAATTCGATATCAAGAATTGTATGACTATGGTAAAGGGTTGCATTTATAATTCGTCTGTTTTTTTTTATTTTTTTTTTTTTATATATTTTCTTTTTCTTAGATTAATGAATTCTCTAGCTTCTGATGATGCTTTATTACTTTATTAAAGTTCAACGAGTTCTTATACATGCATTCAATGCATATTGTTACATTTTTTTAGGTCTACAGGTCGGAGACCAGAAGAGCATATCCGATACTAGTATTAAGGTGCGTGTCCGTCGTCCGTACTTCTGTCCGTCTCAAAATGCTACCCCTCTTCCAGTTTTTGTCTGATTTCAATACAAATTGATCACACATAAGTAGAATAGTATATAGTTCTGAATATAGGTTTTTGATTTCAATAAAAGTTGTTGCCTTCTGTAAAATACTTTTTTAAAATGCTACTCCTAATTCAGTTTTGGTCTGATTAAAATACAATGTGGCATGCAAGTAGATTATACTGAGATATATAATTGTCTTTATTATTTTTTTTATTTCGAATATTGATGTTGCCAAAGTAACTGAAATTTTAAATTCTATAAAACTTAATTATTAGCTACTCCTACAGTTGTATAGTCTAATTACAATCTTGCCACAAAAATAGACTTATTCTTTTCGTTGCTGTTGTAAAGTTTCAAATTCTAATTGCTACTTTATTCTTCCTTTGTTAAAAGTACTAAACAATAAAGCTACACTCTTCTGGTCTTTATAAAGCTTTTTGTTATACCCTTATAAATATCATTCTATATATTTATTACTTATAAAAAGTCCAACAAAAGAACTGTTAATTACATCGGTCTAACAATTTCACTATTGACCGGTCTTACATAAGAATTGTTAGACCGCAACGTCACTCGTCTGTTACGTCACAATTAATCAGTTCAATATCGGCGACGTGAAAATAGCCGAAGTTAAGAGCTACAAGAGTTGTTGCTAACAGCACGGTAAGGAAGAAGGGAAAAGTATGTTTTGTGATAAATAATTTTTGTGATACAACAGATATATAATTGATTTTGTTCTTTCTTGGCTTGATGTTATATATTTACTGAAGAAGCCATAATTTTCCATATAAAATAATTGATAATATAGCGTGTATTGATTAAATTGATCAATCGTAAGTGAGCAGTGAAGGGTATAACAAAACAGTTATAGACTAGGATTCGGGCAACATATGATTTGTTGGACCTGAACGTGAAAATGTTGCCCTTGGCCTGCGGCCTCGGGCAACATTTTACCTTATTTATGATATACCCATCAATAACTGTATAATATTTAGATATATGTACAACATAACACACGTCTTGTTCTTATAAAATCCATCAGTGATAATAAAACATATTAATGTGATATTTCAAGGGGGAATCAAGATTTTTTTTACGTCATGATAAATTAAAAAAGTTTGTTCGAATGAAAATAATTCGTCGAATATTTAAAGTTTAATTTACATGTCTACGTACGATACACTCACACAGTAATTAAATAAAACACTAGTAAGTACTTAAATGTAAGATTTATTATTTACCTTGCATTTAAAGTATTTGATTTTTTTTTTGTTTGCAAATCTGGGTAAAAATCTCTTATCCACGAATATATTATTCTTACCTTGCTTTCTAGACTCTGATACATGAGATCCTGACATTATGAGAAAACAAAGACAGCAAAATACATAAGCACCCTGTAACGAAATTTATATCAAAAAATTTCAAAATTATAGCTCAATAATTATTAATTTCATCGTATATATATTTTTCATTTTACCATTTTTGACGACGGCCAGCCTCCATATGATTGACAAATTTATAGAAAGCATTAATAATATCTTATCTCGGTATTAAAATGTCAATAATATATATTCTGGTTTCTTAATATCATTGATTAAATATGAAGTTTTGCTTACGAAACAGAGTTCCATTCCCCAACCTAGTTGATGGGCAGCCAAGGACGAAAATCATTTAATGTACTCCAGCAATCAATGAAAGTTAACTTTTAAGAAGATAGAATTTATTCCCTAAATAAAGGACTTTGGACAAAATACTTCAAATGGGAAGCATCCTAAAAGAGGGAAATTTTGTTCAAATTCAACATGAAAGTCTTTTATCTTATCGTAAACATCAGGTATATATACATGTAATAATTATTATTGTTTTGAAAAGAATTTCGAAAATGCAAAACAGGAATCAACAAAAAATTGGTAGGGTTGGAGAGACCCACGTTTTCTCTCATGTGTCCCTTAAAGAATGTATATTAATTTGTCTCTAATTTTGTTTATTAGAATTGGAAAAAATAACGATTCTTCAAAAACACCATTGAGATTTTTATTAGATTATACTTTCAAATTCTTCAACGATTTTCTCATAATCCATCATAAAAAAAAAGAAATCTAGATAAACTATTCTTAGAGGCATTTAATTACAGATACAAAAAGACCACAAAATAAATCTTTATGTATTCATTTCACTGACAAGTTTAATACCCCTTATCTCTCGTAGAGAGGAGATGGAATAAACAATTATCAAATCCAACTGGGAATTTTAACTTCAATTACATTAGAAATTATACATTGAACTTTTAACAAAAAGCAGTGAATAGTTGATAATTGGTGATAAATATTTTATATAATGACAAATCTTCGGCGCAAACAAAATCAGTTTGGAAACTCCATATCCAATTTATTTTTCCTGTTATTGTTATCAAAAGTATTGAGAATTTTTGCCAAGTATAATTTTAGAATCTTCAAACATACATGTAGCTAACAAGCTAATTCAGAGAATTTGTGTCCCCCGCATAGGGAAAAAGGAAAAGCATGTGCAGTTCACGTGTACATTCTATTTAAAAAAAAATTATTGGAAAAGAATACAAATAAATAACTAGCTTTCTGTTTATTTGTATTCCTCTATTTGTCTGTATGTAGAAATTTTGTAGAAATATTTTAACAATAAATCCAAATGATTTGTACGAAAAATTTTAAAATTATCATATTTTTCAAACCTGTCAAGAATCAAAACTGCAAAATTCGGATCGCGGAGCAGGTCAAAATTTAGTAATTCACAAACAATACACTAAATAAATAATGATAATGCCTGAAGTCACATTGTCTGTAAAATCCAGCCTCAAAATAATAAATTCTAAACTTTGGAATTTAGAACTGTTACATTGATTCATATTCCAAATCATGGCTTAATATTTTGCTTCGTTTAAAAGAAATGGATTTGGAGAGATACCAGTACATGTAGGTAGATACATGTAAGTCCTCATTGAAAGCGACAAAAAATTAATGATAACGCTGTTGAACGTCAAAGAGCGGCAGATAACTATGCAATTTTGTATTTTGCTCGGGGAAAATCCTTCATAAAGTAAAAAAAATGTTAAAGGAATAAAAAATTGTTACAAGTCATCCATGTATGTACAAATAATACTGTAGGCAAAATCTGATCAAAAACTTTTAAAAATTGGAACGTTGCGGAATTAAAGGCTAAGCTATAGATATAACAAAAGTTTCGTTTCGTTAGATTTTCTGCATTCCATTCCCGAACTTTAAACAGAGGACTTGTTTCAATGTCTGCTTCAATTTTTAAAATAATAGATTTATCACTAATACGAGAGATTAACAGTATTAAATGTGAAAGTTTTCTAGTAAATAATATTTTATTGTTTCGAGTCATTCTTTATAAATATTTAAAGCCTGAATTTTTAATTAAATAATTTATTTCCACTTGCGGTTTCAGCTGCGAAATTTTTTTTAAATCGATGCTAAAGGTTACAGAGGCCAAGTCAAAAGTATCTCACAGTGAACCTTTAGCATGCTGAAGTAAGTCATATTATAAGAGAACCTAAACAATCAGTTCTCAGAGGAGAACGGACGAACAATGGAGTTTATTTTCTGTGTAGTACGTCATCAAAAAGTGTTGTAGTGAGCCTCCTTAAAATTAAGATTATAATTATTAAAAGGGAACCTTTACATTTCGTCCCCAGAGGAAATTGACGAAACAATATAATTGGAATTATTTTTTGTGTAGCACTCCATCACAAGTGGTGGTGAAATAAGCCTCATTAATGAACAAAGTGCTTAAAAAATTCCGTTCTTTTGATATTTTTATTAACATGTTTTTCACTCTTCTAAAAGAGATGGCTTTCATAAGAATCTCTTTCGGGAAATGCTTTTGCAAATTAAAGGAGACAGCAGTTCCTTTAGTTAGTTAGGATGTCAAGTTTTTAGCTCTACTGGTCAGAGACCAGAAGAGCTTATGCGATAGTAGTGCGTCCGTCATCCGTCCGTCTGTCTGTCTGTCCGTCTGTCTGTAAACAATTTTTCAAAACGCTACTCCTCCTACAGTTTTGGTCTGATTTTAATATAACTTGGCACACAAGTAGACTACACAAAGATACATAAAATAGTGCATCGGATTTTTATTTCGATGACCGGTGTTGCCATGGTTACTAAAAATAGAATTTTCTGTGAAATTCCTTTAAAACGCTACTCCTCCTACAATTTTGATCTGATTTCAATATAACTTGGCACACAAGTAGACTACACTAAGATACATAAAATAGTGCATCGGTTTTTGATTTCGATGAACAGTGTTGCCATGGTTACTAAAAATAGAATTTCCAGTGAAATTCCTTTAAAATGCTACTCCTCCTACAGTTTTGATCTGATTTCGATATAACTTGGCACAAAAGTAGACTACACAAAGATACATAAAATCGTGCATCGGATTTTGATTTCGATGAACGATGTTGTCATGGTTACTAAAAATAGAATTTTTTGTGACATTCCTTTAAAACATTACTCCTCCTACAATTTTGATCTGATTTCAATATGACTTGGCACACAAGTAGACTACATAAAGATACATAAAATAGTGCATCCATTTTTGATTTCAATGAATGGTGTTGTCATGGTTAATAAAAATAGAATTTTCTGTGAAATTCCTTTAAAACTCTACTCCTCCTATAATTTGGATCTGATTTCAATATAACTTGGCACACAAGTAGTCTACACTATTATACATAGAATAGTTCATCAGATTTTGATTTCGATGAACGGTGTTGCCATGGTTACTTAAAAAAGAATTTCCTGTGAAATTCCTTTAAAACGCTACTCCTCCTACAGTTTTGGTCTGATTGCAATATAACTTGGCACACAAGTAGACTACTCTAAGGAAAGTGTTGCCATTGTTACTAAAAATAGAAATGTATGAAATTCCTTTAAAACACTACTCCTTCTACAGTGTTGGTCTAAATAGCAATGGCTTCTTTTCTCATCCTTTTTTATAATTACAAACCAGCAGAGCTACAGTCTCAACAGAGACTTCTGGTTGATAGATACAATAAGCACCATCGTCCTGAAAGTTTCATCATTATGTCCGGATTCATGACAAATATTCAAAATGACATCAACGATCATTTGTGTTTTGAAACAGTGGTACATGTACCGATACCTATGTTTTGGTTCACTTAAATGGACATGGACACCGTTTCAGCTAAAAATTTTAAACTTGATTTTTCCATTTGTTATGTTTACAATAACTTAATCAACTAAGGCATCTTTAATAATTTCAAAAATCTGAATTTCAGTTGTCGAAATAAAACACAAATTTAGAACTCCAAATCTTTGTTATGTAAACAAGGCCCGTGCCATGTTCTTGTTTACAAACATGTAGGTTAAAATACTAATATCGTTCGAAGCATATTTTTAATAAGGAAGTTAATTTTAAATACGATTAGTTTCTAGTGATTTTCCGAATCTCTCTTTGTTATAAATATGATATTTTCTATATGTAAATAAAAACAGGGTTCGTTTACATTATGAACAATTTTAAATTTTGTATCTCCTGTAAATCAGCAAGTGGTGTTCATATTTCTGCTGATCGTATGAATTGCTTTCATTGGAAATTAAAATTGGTTTTTACAAAGATCAGTTGAAACTATGCCCATGTCTCTTTAAAAGAAAATTGATTTGATAAGTCCACTTGATCGTCCCAAATGACTGATTCTGAGGAAAATTTGAGCATAAACGATAAAATGCTTCAAAAAGCCATCATGATGATTGATCATCAATTTAAAAGCATAAAAAATGTAATGTAGATTTGAAATTCAGGAGAATACTCAGAGGAGCCATAAAACTGACAAAGGAATACAAAGGCTACATCAATAAAAATGGTCATCCTGAAAACAATTAAACCATAATGTGTCCCAAAAGCATTATAAGGAAGTGTAGAGTTAAGATTTTTTTGAAATACCCCCCCCCCTCCTTCTCCATGATATATTTGAACTTTTCAATACTGAACTAATCTAATTTTTGCTTTAACCTAGCCAGTTGCTCGGGTGAGCGATGTGGCCCCTGGGCCTCTTGTTTTTGATACCTTTCAGCTACAAAACATCCAACGAAGCTTATTTTTTGTTGATAAGAATATGTCTTTATAGAACCAACGTGAAGGATGACACGTTAACTAACACAAAATTCACTGAATGTTTCTGGGCTTAAAATTGGTTTATTTTAATACAATGATTTCAGCATATTCTCCGGTTTCCCTTTTAATGAAAGGAACATATTTTCCTTACAAAAGTTGTGGGTTTTTTTTTTGTTTGTCAGTTGTTATATACTTCTAGATCTGCTACTTATTTGTCCCAGATTTA